CAGTGCTATTTATTGTTTGAATAATCAATGTAATTGGGAGACACCTGGGCAACAAAACACACCTGTCAGTCACATGTTCCAATACTTTTGCTCTCATGAAAAATGGGTGGGTTCAAACAAAAGGTGCTATCTTCTAAGTTGTGTATCAGATCCAGATGTAAATACCTGGAAATGAAAGCTGAAATGTTGATCTCTTGTCCCATATTCATCTTTTGATGTCAAACCCAAATATTTTCAGTCTACAACAAAAATAAAGGAATTGGCCTCACTGTTCCAATACTTTTGGAGGGCACTGTAGATGGGAAGTGTAGCTCACTATAATTGGTCTCCACCTTCCATGCACCCAGAAATGGGTCCTTTAAGTGACTCTTCACACCGCCGCACAACCCTGCAGCTAGTCACCGCAACGCCTGATTTGTTGTGAATGCAGCCTAACCCTGTACCAAGTAGTAGCCAAACCTCTCCAGTCAAACAATGCCTGCATTAAATCCTTTTTGTGCCCAGATGTAGAAAAATAAATTGCTTGCAGCCAATCACACAATTTAATGCAACATGTGATTGGCTCATTATCTCAGCAGCTACAACCCACACAGTCTGTGGTGTGGTAAAGCTGACTGCAGTGTATTTGATGGAGTTGGCATTTCAGGATGCCTAGATGCTGCTAAAATGTTTGAATGTGTGGCTATACTACACACCCGTGGCATCTGGTGGCAATTTACACAACTACATACTTCCACTCACATGATGGGTATCAAATGAAGTATGAAAAAAAAGTATGAAATGAAATACTCTATTGGTATGGGTATCATGGGTATTGGTACTGGTATTGTCTTTTTTTTTTTTAAACTATACTCAGCCTTTAGAGAGGTCATTTTGTTGTTCTACATAGTATGCAGCAACCATAACAAAAGTACTGTGTATATAAACTGAAAATGTTCTTTCAGAGGAGACAAGGAGACACACCTGAGAGACTGCTGGCTGATGGTGATGTCCTGGCTGCTGAACACACCAGTGCTGACCCTGTACAAACACTTAGTCATGAATAAAGATAAATAATGTTCACATACACCGATCAGCCAAAACAATAAAACCACTGACAGTTGAAGTGAACAACACTGATCATCTTGTTACAATGCAATGTTATGTTGGGAAATCTTCATTTCTGACATTCGTGTGGATGCCACCTGATAGACTCCACCGACTTGAACACCAGTGCAAACCAGGCACCCCCCATTATGGCAACAGCACTCCCCAGTAGCTGTGGCCCCCCAGCAGGAAAATGCGCCATGCCACACCACAGAAACTGCTCAGGAGTGGCCCGAGGAAAGTGACAAAGAGCTCAAGGCATCAACCTGGCCTCCAAAATCCTCAGATTCCCATCGGATCAAACATCTGTGGGACATGCTGGTACCCCACCTCACAACCCACAGCACTTAAAAGATCTGAAGTGAACGCCCTGGTGCCAGACACCAAGGGACACCCTCCAGAGGTCCTGTGTCCATGCCTTAACAGGTCAGAGCCAAGTCAGGTCCAAGGAGCACCCACCATGGATTGGGGGTACCTCTGGGGTACCAGCATGTACCTCAAATGTTCGATCAAGTTGGGATCTGGGTATCTGGAGGTGAGGTCGACGTCTTGAGCTCTTTGTTCCGTTCCTCGGGTCATGCCTGAGCAGTTTTTGTGATGTGGCATGGTGCATTGTCTTGCTGGGATTGTATGTGGCTTCATTTTAACAAACAATGAACTCTTCTAATCTCTGCTGATTTGAACTAGTACTGGTGCCCCCTGAGAAATTTGCCCAGATCCCACAAATGAATTGTGTGCTGATGACAATAGGTGACAGAACATAATGTTCTGTACAAAGTAGCAAAGATGCAAATCTAAAAGGCAGAAAAGTTACCTTCAGCTGAGTGCTGTTCCTGTAGATGCAACTCAACATGCTCCTGCAGAATAAAAGAGCTGCTACAGACCAGTGCACACATGGGGCAGGAGAGCAGCTCCTCTGTGACAAATACAGAACAATTCAAGTCAGTTGTGAATTTAAAGTTCAAAATAAAGTTAAAAAAGAAGTTAATAAAGGAAGAGCTAAATCACCTTTTCTTGGGAAAGACAACCGCTTCTGCTTGGCTTTGCTCTGCTCAGATTTAATTCCATTACTGTTCTCATTACAGTGCCCGACAGATTTCTGTCTGGTTTTAGGGATCTGTGTTGTCAAAGTCGAAGTGATAAGTGCAGTCTCTCCAGTTGATGAGCCCTCGCTTTGTATTGTACTATTCTGTTTAGGTCGCATTGAGTCTGTGGTAACACTACAGGCATGGGTGGGTGTTGCTTCACCAGCTGTATCACAGCTATCTCCAGCCAAGCAGGACTCAGGTGTCTGGGGCTTTTTGGTCACAGTTACACCAGTGCTTGTTTCAGCAGAGCAGCCTGAAGTGGATGGGAAATGAGCCTGATCCTGCACTCTGGGCTGCTTCTCTGGATGTGCAGAGCTGATGTGGAAGCAGAGTTCATCGTAGGACACTCCAGACAAGGAACAGAGTGGGCAGTGCATGTCATTTTCCAGGTGGCTGAGAAGGAGATGTGTCTTCATGTCTTCCTCCAACATAATTTCTTCACCACAGATTTCACAGGTCAGCATGGCTGCAGCCTACACACAGAGACAAGTTACTATTACTTTCCTGTGGCTTGTTATCACACCTCAGACTAAAACTAAAAAGGTTTGCACAAGTTGGCACAATTTCAAGTCTATGTTATTACAATTTGCTACTGCTGATTAAAATCATGAATTAGTTTTATTGGATAGTGTCCTTTATTAAAGGGAATCTTTGGTATTTTTCAACCTGGACCCTATTTCCTCATGTTTATTTTGACTTTTTTTTGCCTTTATTAGATAGGACAGTCTAAGTGTGAAAGGTTGAGAGAGAGGGGATGACAAGCAGCATGGAATGCCGGCTCTACCCACTAAGCCACTGGGTGCTCCAATTTCCCCATGTTTTTGTGAATAGGTGATTAGGGATGGGCAATATATGGAATATAGTCCATGTATCAATCAATCAATTCAATCAATTTTATTTATAAAGCCCAATATCACAAATCACAATTTGCCTCACAGGGCTTTACAGCATACGACATCCCTCTGTCCTTATGACCCTCACAGCAGATAAGGAAAAACTCCCCAAAAAACCCCTTTAACGGGGAAAAAAAACAGTAGAAACCTCAGGAAGAGCAACTGAGGAGGGATCCCTCTTCCAGGACGGACAGACGTGCAACAGATGTCGTACAGAAGAGATCAGCATAATAAATTAACAGTAATCCGTATGACACAATGAGACAGAGAGAGAGACAGAGAGAGAGAGAGAGATGCAGGTAATAACAGTAGCTTACAACAACATTATTGAAAGTAATAATATTATAGTTCTGGCTACTGTGGTACAATATGTTGAAAGTATGTATTAATATCTGGCAGTATACATGTGTGACAATAGTCATATGTGTATAATAACAGTAGAAGTATGACTAATGACTAATGATGGCAGCAGCAGCAGGAGGCATCTGGCAGGACCACGGCAGCAGCACAACCACACA